ACCTTAAGTTTAAACCCAATTTATCATGACAGATATTAAGAAACACATGTCGTAGTTAAGAGGACAGAAGACGATAAAACTTTGGATCTAGGCTCTATCTTGTGTGTAACTGAAACAAGAGCTCCAATTGGTCATGTGGATGGGTACTACTTTGGAGGATCTGTAACGAAACCTGACTGCTATATTGTGAAGAAATTGGATTCAGAGATCCAATTGCCTGGAGGTACATGTATCTTGTACAAGGAGGGATTTTCACAACATGTTGATGAAGAGGATTTGTACAAGAGATTTCATGATCCTAAACAGTCTTCAAATTGTGTAGTGACTCATTTCAAGAGCAGTGAGAGTACAGAACAAAACCGTGTTGCACAAGACAACTTCAACCAACCCTTTTGTTTGCAGCAGCAGCAACAACAACCTTGTCCTAATGCAACCGCTAAAATGATGTATCATCAGGAGCATCAATTCATGAGACCTTTTGGTATGCAGCAACAAAAACCTTGTCCTAATGCAGCANCTCCAATGGTCTATCAGCAGCAGAGTTTCATGAGCCCTGAGACTTATCAGCAGAAGAACCAAATGGGTATTATCCCAAACCAAGCTTTGACGATGATAATGACAAATCTAATGGTAAACCTGCAGCAGTACTTGAGTGGTCAGATATCGACAATATTACAAGGTGGATGGTCAGGATCATATGGTGTAGATCTCAACTATTTCCCCCCAAATGCAGCTCAACTATTTCAATCCCCAAATGCAGCTCAACTATTTTAATCCCCAAATGCAGCCAACGCAGTCTCAGGTGTTTAACGCTGGACCATCTTCTTATTGAGGCAGAGGAGGTCACCGCGGTAGAGCCAGAGGACGTGGGAGGAGAGCTTGAGACTAAGTAAAAACCACTCTTGACATGATGATTTTGAACCTCTTTTTGGTCACAAAACTTTCTCTGGATAGATTTTGATAACTTTCAATGAAATGTTGATGTCCATTTTTTTTTTTNTGTTGAGAATTTGTCATTATTCATTGAACTTTGCCACAAGAAAAATCTCTTGTTGGGTCATTTTCTTGTATTGGTTTTGGTTATTGTTTTAGATATCAGAAGAAGCC